TCTCTACTGCTTGCAGCAGTGTGGCAGCCTACCTGTGTAATACTCTCTTATATTCCACAATCAAAATTTTGGTCCATCACTAAAGAGAGCAATGCAGTGCTCCAGCTACAGGAACTCAGCAAAACGACTCTCTGCCTCCTTCCAACCCAACGTGCTCTTCGTAGATGCTACGTATCAAGGAAGTGAGGTCTGCTTTCTGTGGCACGGACCAAAGGAATCTGGAAAAAGAGATGCCGCCACCTTTCAGGGCAGGTGTCGAAGAGAGTGAGACGATGGCTGGAGAAGCCTTTCCTCTCGCCCTGCGTTAAGGCCGCTGGTCTGTGTGATGCACCGTAGCTGTGGCTTCGGTGAGAGCCAAGAGGTTGCAAAGGTTGGGGGAGCGAGGGAGTGGTAAAGGCCACAGTACACACAAATTCATAATGTGTGTCAAACTTGGACTTTCCCTGTGCATAGTTCCTGTTACAACAGATGTGAGATTACAAGCATGGTAGCATGTTTTCCTATGGTACCAGGCTAACTTTAAAACAAATGCATTTTGTATGGATCTCACAGTCAGATTTAAATCTTATTCCTTTCTTCTGGTGTTTGATTTAAAGTACGTATCTTGGATGGTGGTTTAAAAACTAGGAAACGTGTGAGACAGCTAGCTGCTGTTCCAGCTGTTGTCTTCCAGTTGGCCTTACGGATGTTCTGCTGCCTACCCTTTCGACAGCTTGTGCTATAGCGTTACTTCCTCACAATGCCTTTCCTAGGCACAAAGGCAAGTCCAGTACAAAAACTGGAGACCTCTAAACAAAGTTCTCAGAGCTGGAGAGGGGAAAAGAGGAAAAAAAAAAAACAAAACAAAACACAACAACAACAAAAAAAGAGAGGCTATAGCTTTCTTTCCTATCACAGTGCATGAGCATGAACTGAGAGCATGGCTAACTAGAAACGGCTATGTTTTCTAGGAGGCCATAAGCAATAATGTTGACAACGTTTTGGAATAACTCGTTCTTTATTCGCTACCGTTGTAAACATCTCTCTATTAACACAGACATCACAGTTTACATTATTGCTTTTATATTGTGGTAAACAGAAATTTCTATTAGTATGCAGCTACCTAAGCACAGTGTGATAAGAAGAAACTGCCCACAAGCTGGTTTGGGTGGTTGTTTGGGTTTTTTTTTTCTTCTCTAGAGAAAGACAATATATAGACTGGCACAAGAAACATCAGTCCAAAGATTGATCACCGTTGTACTAGAGAACACAAAACAAGTATGACAGAAAGAAACAGCACGTTACATCTTTACCACGCGTTTACTAGCAGTATTTTCAAGAATACTGACTGCCAAACTCTCACCTAACTAAACACAAACTTTTTCATCATAATCCTTAAAACAAGGCTAACCAATGTGTTTTTTTGTAAAATGTTTGCTATTTAAACTAGGACGGAAAATCTGGAAAAGGAATGCTTGGGGCTTTGTGTGAGCGTTTTTAATTTTTTGTTTGCTTTTTTGTTTCTCAAAGAGTGAAAATCCAGAACTATTTATCTGAAGTGCTTAAATTGGCCCCTTTTCCTACTGTCCTTTAGGACAAAGTACCCTACTCTTTACACTGCTGTATCAGGTGACAGAAGCACAACCAGTTTAAAAACATTCTCAGTTTCTTTCTTCCTCAGTACCACTGTCTTCAATCACTTTGCAATCAAGTTGGTTACTTAGGAAGCAATGTGTTTACTTATTGAAAGACTACATTTTACTTTTGCTTGTGGTAAACTTCTACTTATCTTCAGATTAATTTGTTCATGGAGTGGCACCATGCTTCAAGCAGACACTAAACAACAAAAGTGGAGGTAGTTTGTTAAACAGTTGCTACAGGAACAACAACAAATTTAGAGAACCACCTTGTCTTCAGTTTTAGATATTTTTTTTTCTAAAATTACTGTTGCATATAAGCTTTCACATAGTGAATGCTTTAAAGAGGCAGTAAGTTAGAAAAGTAACAGTATGAACAAATTCTAGTAAGATAATACATACTTTAAAACATGACAGTTAATAAATAACAAGAGAACTTACCAAAGTTCTAAGACTCTTAGAATAAACCATGAGTAACAAATTCTGATGTTAAAACAAATTGATTATATCAACTTGCAGAAAGGTGGCCTACCTCCATTTTGAATCTTCCATAACCTTACGATTGTCACCCTACAACAGAGTTAGTATAAAACACCGCAGACGAGTAAAACACTTCTTCCCTTCCCTAAACACAATTTTACCTTTTTTCCATGTATTTTCTAGCTACCACCATAATACAATGAGCCTACCACTGGTGCAAAACAGGGACACCCAGTACTAGTCTACGTATAGCGAGTGACTCCTAGGGAGAAGGACTGGGCTACTTGATCGTACAAAACTACATGCAAATTCTAACTGTTCACTGGGAAGGTGTATTGGAGCCTAACGTAAACGTTCACCTTAGCTACTACATGCAAACTAATGCAGTCCCAAACATCTCACTCATCTGATGACAGTTGGGTTTACTATTTTACCTTGTGTACTGCCACAGTTTACTCCCAGCTCATGCTTTGATTTTAAAAAACCAAAAAAGCCAAGGAAGATGCATCTCGCATCAGGCTCAATCTACATTCTACACTAAAACGTCTTAGGTGTGTGGATAGGAAATCTGAAACTTAATGGGTGGGCTTCAAAAGCCTCAGCAGGAGTGAAATGTCAGTCTCCTTGTGAAGAAGGAGCTGAGTGAAAGTTTCAAGGCTGGAAAGAGAAGGGTGTAGATTACTTTTGCAACTGCTGCCAAAAAAAAAAATAGATTGCAAAGGGGTTAGAGCAACGGCTCAAGCAATTCTGTTACTTGCTAGCAAGTGGTAGGTGAAAACAAAGAATGAGATCTCCTTTCCTGCTGCTGCTAAACATATTGGGGTTGCTTCTGAAATTCAAAACCTCAGCCTCACATTGCTTGGGAAGGAGATCTACGAGTAATAGCAAAAATTATTAATGAAGGAAGACAAACATGACAGAAGCTGGGACTAGGAAGTAACAGACAACTAACCTCTCAGCCACTGGCAAAGAGTCCCACTTCCTTCCTCAGATTTTAGGAATGTCCAGTATCTACAAGGGTTAGAGAAACAGAGCTCCACTACAGGACCTGAATCCCAGAATACTCTCTGCAGGATCTCGGCTTTTCCAGTGGTGAGAATTACTGGACCCAAGTAGCTGGGAGTAGCAAAACAACTAGGCTTCCTAGGGTCGGTCTTGTACCTAATCTAGTCAGTTTAGCTGTTCAGCTTACAAGTCGTGGCATAACCATAGATATTCTCCCTACAAGCATCTTCACATGACTGTTTTTTTAGTAGAATACAATCAACCCAACCTAGATGAGATGAACCCTCCTCCACCCTGCACACGTTAAACTTAAGAACTGTTTAAATCTCGTCTATACCTAAGGTATCCTAAAAAGAAAACAGAACTGCGTTACCTCCTATGCATACACCATCTACCCTGATCAGGAGCTTTCCCGCAGATAAGAGATCACCAGCGTTTAAGGGACCAAGAGCAATTGGGCGGATGCAGTGCAAGAAGTCACTAGTTACACAATACAGACTCACAGAATTACTGAGGTGGGAAGGCACCTCTGGAGATCACCTAGTCCAACCCCCGACCCAAAGCAGGCTCACCTCGAGCAGGCTGCTTAGGACCATGTCCAGTTGGGTTTTGATTTTCTCCAAGGAGATGTAGTATTACACACTATAATAATACATTTAATACTTATGTAGTGTTAACATCACTTATCACAAAAAGAGGTTTGTCTTTTTTTTTTTCTCATGTTCAATATTTGTATTCATCAGGAATCTCTTCATGATTAGTCATTGACTAGAAGTTAACCAATTTACCTGAGATGATTAAAAAAAGAAAAAAGGCATGAAAGCTTCTATTAGCATACAAATTATTTTGTGCCACTGTGTGCTATTTAGGTGTATACTGAAAGAGTCTTTCCCAAATAACTCAAGCTTCTAAGGCTATGATCCGGTTACAGAATCAAAATAAAACACTGATTGAGCAAAGCAGAAGGCACTTATTTAATAGTAGGTTTTAGAAAATGAAGTGATGGTCATACCAAATCTGTTTAAAGTTGCTTTGAGCAATAATTAGTCACAATATGGACATGAAGTCCTATTGACTAGATTGTCTGAGGATGCCAAGATTAAAGAACATGTTGCAGTTGCATCCCTTTCACGGAAAATGCATTTTTGTTAGAGACTTGTACTCAAGTGTGAATTTATTTTCACAAAATAGGGACTGCGGCTGCAATAAAGTTTTTTAATGAGTTAACTTTATAAAAGGGCCAAACTAACTCTCTTGTACTTCCCACTGAGAATACTCCATTAGCTGCTAAAAGAAATGGCTGACAACAAAGTCAAGCAGTCTGAGTAACTGAAGTCAGGTTAGAAAGAATAGATTTTTACAGTAGGAATAGTTTTA